TATATGTAAGGCCTATAGAGTTATTATATTTTATTATTAATTATAATAATAATAATAATAATAATAATAATGAAACAGAACCAACGAAAAGACAAAAACATTTTGATTCGTTCAGTCTAGTTTCGAGAATTTTAAGTTTTCTTTTATATCGACAATAAAATACCAAAATTGTTCGCCGGCCACCGATCTCCATCCATCCCTACTATTACTCAGGTCGCTTCAAAAAATCTGTCAGTCACTAGACTGCGAACTAAGTCCCTCTATTTCCCTTGGTCACTGTCCGTCTGTCTGTCCGTGTTGATTGGTCGAGGAAGATTGGTTATCTTCCTCGACCAATCGACACGGACAGACAGACGGACCGTGACCAAGGGAAATATAGAGACTTAGCTCGCAGTCTAGTCAGTCACGTCCATGCACACATCTCATACACTGGAGCTTTATGAATCGCCGAATAAATATAATGAAATACTGTAGAGATATCTAGCTAAAAACTAGTGTGAGCTGCGTCGGTGTTTCTAATGAAACAGTAATGATAAAAGGGTAAATTATACACCGTGAAAAGATGAAAAAACTTACTGACGTTTTAGACGCTAGTCCTACGTCGTAGTAAAATATCTGAGAGTGAGAAACCTAAGTAAAAAAACCTGTATAATCTATTCAATAGGTTATCATTTAGAGTTAGATAAGGTTCCTTTTTTATTGGAAGTCAACAAAGAAACGACTTTCGTCACCCTCCACAGAAGTTTAAACATTTACTGATAACTATCCCCTCTGAAACCCCCCCATGAAAAACGTACCTATCCCTACGTTTGCTATCCTTGATCTAATTTACGTTCCATTATGTGAGGTCAGATACGATAATTCGGCATTGACACGCATCAGCCAGTCAAGAACAATATTTTGCTCTAACAAAACGTTTACCTTACTAACTTGATAACCCGGTTAAAGATATCCTTATCTGTATTATATTAAAAAATGGCATGATGCGTGGTATAGGGGAATAATGATAGATAGGTAGACTCTATTTTAGTAGCCAAACTGCCGATCACGCTTAAGGTATGTTAGTTTCAATTGACAATGAAAATAACTCCGAAACGAATTGTTACTTTGATTATTTTATTGTATTAGAGTGAAGGCATTTAACCCGTGAAATAAAAAATATTAGTCAACGTGTAATAGTCAAATAGATACAAAAGAAAACAATGGAATTAGGGTCTACTAAAGTGTATTAGTCTAATATCTAATATCGCTGCGCTTACTTGTGAGAGATCTTTTCAACACTCGAAGATAAATTTCGTATCTCCGCGCGCCCATGTAATATCCTCTATATATCATGTGTACTCTAGGGTAATTTTGAACTCAAAAACCGTTGTAATAAATGTTTAATATACGATGCTTTTTGAGTTAAAGATTATTAACAATTAAAGAGATGAAATAAAGAACTCATCTGGACCAGAAGTTCAACGGCGTAGACTAAAACATTATTGGGCGTTTGTTATAAACATAACGTCCTAAAGTTATAACATCGATAGAGCCCTGACTCGGATTGATATATTATGGAGATTACTATACATGAATTGCTGATTTTGCCTACAGCAACTCAACGGTTTAATGATTGATAGAGAGATATCGATAATATGTTACATGACTATGTAGACTGACTAAAACTAAATAATGTAAACTGTTGTTGTTGTTTTTTTTTTTGTCACTCGATCGGTCAGTACCTTGTTATTGCGCTAAAAGTCGGAAAATAATCGATTGGGATTCCTAAAAGATCCTGAACTAGATAAATAGATTTGCTAGTTAGATTTAAAGACCCATGAATACACGAAAAATATTACAAAACAGAAACGTCTACAGCTCGAAGACGAATGTGCGTTTATTTTGAAATTTCTAAGTAGAGAGAACGCTTTGAACTTTTGCAATTGTCATTGATATAAATGAAGTTATACTTATACTTTTTGCTTTTTATACCAAAATACGAAGACATTCTTTAGAGAGAGATAATTGAAAACGAAACTACCAAACTATTGATAGCTATGTTATAATATTACCTTATATTTTCAACTGTTTATGATCGCCGAGATAAGCCGAATCGCAATAACTGTGTTAAAACGATTTCTACAAAATAAGTTTCGCTAAAGTATGAAGATTTGATATACATACGAAATATAGCTAGTCGTAGTTGCGTAAACTATGAAGCAGATGAGAAAAAAAATCCTCTAAAACTTACCAATTTATATGTTTCAGGTGAGCCGAATTCGTACGTGTCGAGTGTCGATCTAGTATGACGCTACCAAATGCAACCCTCTGGAGATTATATAGCAAAATGTTGACCTTTGACGGCTGCTAATTCATACATATATCCTCATGCCTTTTTATAGGAAAATAATTAGCGTGGCTAAGTAGGAACTAATGAGGATGTGTTACTATGAAACTAGTTCCTTGCTAGATTTTGCTTAATGTCAAGATCTGCGTCAAGATAAGCTGACCAGAACTGAACCAGAAATACTCCTATTACCACATCTCTTTTCAGGCTAAGTATTTTAAGCTACCTGAAGGAAGCAAAAACAAAAAAAAAACAACAAAAAAAAAAAGTGTTTACGGTTTAAATATTAGTTTCAAGAGAAAATAGGAGAGAAAAAATGAAAAGAGAAAGGTCAGTTTAAATAGAAAAATCATAAAACAACCTTTATTCTTTTCCTTTTTCTTTTCACAGCTTTCTTTCTGTTTTTCTTTCGTTCTTTCGTTCTTTCGTTCTTTCGTTCTTTCGTTCTTTCGTTCTTTCGTTCTTTCGT